TTTGTAACTCTGTATTGTCTGTATTGTGCTTGTGATATGTTGTAAAATGTTGTATGTCTGTTAATGTTTCCCTCCTTTTATCTTTAAAACAAAAATAATAAAAAAATATTAATTTCTCTCTCAGTGTGTTTTTTGTTTGTGTATAGGAATGTAATGATTTTTGTGTGCTGACCTTATATCTAGCTATGCTATTGAATTTATTAATCAATTCTATGAGTCTTTTGGTGGAGTTTTTCAGGTCTTCCACGTAGAGTACCATGTCATCTGTGTGTAATGATCATTTCACTCTATCATTCCCTATCTTTATTCCTTTTATATTTCTCTTTTTTCAAATTGCTCTGGCTAGTGTTTCCTGAGCTATGTTGAATAGGAATCGTGATAATGGACTTCCTTGTCTTGTTTCTGATTTTATGGTGAAAGTTTTCAGCTGTTGTCCATTTTGTATGATGCTGACAGTTTGTCGTAGATGGCTTTGATCAGATTGAGGTGAAGACCATCTATTCCTGTGTTCTGTAGGGTTTTTATCATGAATGAGTTTTGGACATGTCAAGAGCTCTTTCTGCATCTATTGAGATGATCATGTGGTTTTTTGTCTTTGGCTTTGTTGATATGATGTATTATGTTAATTCACTGGCATGTATTGAACCATCCCTGCATCCCTGGGATCAAGTCTACTTGGTCATGGTGTATAGTCTTCTTGATAATTTGCTAAATTCTGTTTTCTACTATTTTATTGAGTATTTTTTCAACTGTGTTCATTAAGGAGATTGGCCTGCAGTTCTCTCTATTTGTGGGATATTTCTCTGGTCTTGGTACCAGCATAATACTTGCCTCCATAAACGAGTTAGGGAGAATTGCTTCTTTTCCAATTTCATTGAAGATTTCAAGGACTGTTGGCATTAAATCTCTGTTTCTTGGGGAATTGAACTGTGAATCCATCAAGACCTGGACTTTTCTTTTTTGTAGGTTTTTAACTACATTTTCAATTTCATTAATTGATACTGTGTTATTAAGATTTTTATATCTTCTTGATTCAACTTTGATAACTCATACATATTTAGCAATCTGTCCATTTCTTCTGCATTTTCCATCCTATGGGAGTAAAGATTTTCAAAGTAGATATTGATGATCCTCTGAATTTCTATAGGTTCTGTGGTGATTTCACCCTTTTCATT